CTATTTTAAAGAAGTATAGAGACAGTAAGAAAATATTAGATAATAATCAGTACTGTAAAGAAAAAAAAACACTGTCAAGAATATAGAGAAAGCAGCTGCTATTTTAGGCAGGATGGTCAGTGATGCCATCTCTTAAAGACCTGAATAAAGTGAGGGGTGCAAGCTTTGTTCATATCTGAGCAAATGTATTTCCATCAGAAAAAAGAGGAAGATCCTGAAATGGGAATATGCTTGGCATGCATGAGGAGCAACCCAGAGGCCAGTTAGTTACAGTCAGTGGTGGAGGATGAGGGGCCAGATACTTGTTCTGGCAGTAATTTGGTAATTTGTGTATGCAAGCGATAAGTTGCATGTAATTGTCCTATTTCTTAGTATTTTTAGTTGCTCAGATGTACATTTAAAGTGGCTAACATGAACTAAAGCTTTGATACAGTAGCCCCTTGGTATCCATGGACACCAAAATTTGTGATGCTCAATTCCCTTATATAAAATGACCTAGTATATGTATAAAACCCTATGCACATCTTTTTATATACTTTAAAGCAGGGACCTCCTACCCCCAGGCCATAGACTAGTACTGGTTCATGGCCTCTTAGGAACTGGGCTGCATAGCAGAAGGTAAGCAGGAGGCAAGCAGAGCCCATCCTCTGTCAGATCAGTGTGGTATTAGATTCTCGTAGGAGCAGGAAACTCTGTTGTGAACTGTGCGTGGGAGGGATCTAGGTTGCACACTCCTTATGAGAGTCTAATGCCTAATGATCCCGTCCCTCCCCCCAGCCGTCCATGGAAAAATTGCCTTTCATGAAACCAGTCCCTGACGTCACAAAAGGTTAGGGACTGCTGGTTTAAAGCATCTCTGGATTACTTATAACACCCAGTACAATGCCTAGATACCACTTCATTCACGTGAATTCAGTGTTGTACTTGGTACATGACAAATTCAAGTTTTGCTTTTTGGGACATTTTGAATTTTTTTTCCCTGAATATTTTCAATCAGCAGTTGATTGAAGAACCCACAGATACAAAGGAACAACTGTATTTATATACAAATTGCCATTTAAAGTTAAGTAAGATAATTTATAATTACTGTAGGTCATCTAGTTATTCACTGATGCCTAAAAGTATATATTTTTAAATTATTTAAATTACATACTTTCTTAATGTAAAGGTAGTACTGTCAAGAGATAGTATATATCCATTATTTATAGATATATTAAACCATTATGAAATTATTACACTTTATTATTTTTTCACAGTAATAATCACCTGATTACCTAAAATTTAATTTGCCCAAATTTATTACTAGAGGAACCCCTAGTATTTGTAATCTTAGTTTTTCCTAGAACAACAGAAAATTCATAAGTGACTTAAGTAAGATAGAATTTTGTTTTTCTTACAGAAACATTAACACTTCTAGAATGGTATGGTGATTTTCATGGATCTGAGTTCCTTTTATCACGTTCTTGTGTTATCCTTAACACACAATTTCTGCCTCACAGTTTAATATGGCTTCTTCAATTTAGCTATCACATTTACAAACAGGAAAGTGGAAAGGAAGGTCTTTCTTTTTAAGGATCTAGTTCTTCCATAAATTTCACATACCACTTTTACTTTACATTCCCTTGACTAGATCATACACACAGATGTACACTTAACTATAAGGAAGGCTGGGAAATGTAGTTTTTTCATCTGGGCAACTCTGTGTCTATCTAACATTAAGAGTTCTATTGGCAGCAACAGGTAACAATTAGTGTGTAACCACAGATCTTTTAGACAATAAACAGAAATTGGTTTAGTAACAATTTTTTTTCTATTTTAAAATTTAAATTATGCACTGTAATACTCTTGCAGCACTTTACATATTTTCTTTATCACCCTTTTTCATAAACATGTGGATGGTTATTTACTCAATATCTGTGTTTTTTTGCCAAGATGATAGATTCCAAGCTCTGTTGCAGTAGTGATGTATTCTTTTCATTGCTGCGTCCTTACTTCCTTACACAGTGTCTTTTTATGTATGAGTTGAATAAATGACATAATTAATGTTCTTGGGGTATCTGTAGAGCTGTAATGTCTAACCCAGTAGCCATGAGCTGAGAGTGGCTATTGATCACTTAAAGTGTGACTAGATCCAAACTGAGAAGTATAAATACACACGAGATTACAAAGACTTAGTATTTAAAAAGTGTAAAAGATCTCATTAATAAATTTTTCTATTTACTGCATGTTGAAATGATATGTTGGATATATTGGGGTAAATAAAGTATAATATTCAAATTTTTAAAATAAATTATACACTATATAATCATTCTGTGAGTTTTCTTAACAGATGCATTTGTGCAACAACCCATCATACCTTTCTCTCTATTACATTGTCAAGAGAAAATTATTATTAAAGTAGTGATTAAGAAAATGGCACCAAACTGCTGTTCAGATCCTGCCAGTGCTGCCTGGCAATGGTGTAACCTTGTACAAGTTATTTAACCTGTTGTGACACCTTGTCTTCATCTTAAAATGGGATAATTGCTACCTAATTTATAGGATTGTTGTCAGGATTAAGTGGTTGTAAAGAACTTAGAAAAGCTCCTGTTACATAGTAAACCCTCAAATATTATCACTTATTGCTATCATTGGGCAGGTTCTTAGTGATATCCTAAATAAAATATTTTAGTAATATCCTAAATAAAACATAACTTTAAAAGTTAACTTATAAAGATGTATTAATATTTTCACTGTGGTAGAGGAAAAGTGTTTGGATAACTTAAAAATGAGTATAAACTTGCTTATTTCACTTTGGAGTAATTTATTAGTCCATGTTGAGAAGTTTTTCTATGTGGGAAGCTATAATATTTTAGAGTATATATGCATGCAAATATATGTTCATTTGCTAATTATCTGTCCTTTGAAATTTCCATGTACAGTGTGCCTTTTAAGTCCACTTAAAGCCAAGATGTCAAAGGACTATTAGTAGTGAAAATATTTTGTACCTATATCTTGGGATAAATAAGTAAACAATGAACTATTAGAGGATAATTATGGGACAAGTATAAGTTGAGTATCTTTCAGGGCAGAACTAGGCTTCAGGTTAAGGCTTTGCTTAATTTACTTTTCCAGGAAGTCTTGCCTGAATCCCTCAGTTTGGTTAAATACTTCGTTGTATTTTATTATACAGCATGCTATACATAGCTCTTATAGCACCTGGCAGATTTTATTGAAATTGTGTATTTGTGTTTGTCTCCCCTACCACATCATAAGCAGAGACTATGTCTTACTCATGTTTGTATCTGCCACATCAAGATTTAATTAACTTGTTGTACACTGAATAGCAATACGAGTTGCTAACTTTTGCGGGAGATTTTTTTTTTTTACTTTAAATCTTAAGTCAGAAATCACAGTCATTATTTTCCATGGCCTTAAATTGTTCTCTAAATTTGGCCATCTGCAACAAGATATTTAGAAATAGGCATATTTCCAAAATAAGCTATAATACGTCAAAGTCAAGTTTCATGTTACTGAAATCCAGTTTAGGAAAGCTGTGCTTCCTGGCTCTTCTGTCTTGTAACTCCTGTACATATTTTCCTATTTTCCTATTTCTCTTTCCATTATGTTAAGGTTTCACAACAGTAAACTTACTTGTATGGTTCTTAGAGTATGACAACTTTATTTAAGAGGTCATCCAGTTAGCTGTCATGCTACATAAACCTCAGATATGAATAAGAGGTAGTACTTTTTTTTTTTGAAGGATAGTAACACTTATTTTAACTTTGTTGAGTCCAAAATCAAAACATGCCATAGTTAAATTTGAGCTCAGGTGAAGTGTGTGCATGCATAGGTATATGTATGTATATCTAGCATATATTTTAATGTGAAAAGTGGTTTATCTCTGCTGTTCTTAAATTAGCAGATGATCGAAGTCCTTAAATTCATAACTAAAACAAAACCCAACAATTTCTCTTTTATGGGGGTAGAGTACTTGCTGAAGTGGTCAAGTAGATGCAGTTAATCTTTACTTTTATGTCAAACTCATTCAAGTATGTATTGGTCACCCTTCTGGTGGCAATGCATTACATCCTGTCATGTCTTTTTTTAAAGGGAATGTGTTGAAATCCCGTACATTTAAATTTTAGCAATTTTCTAAATGGATTTTAATGTGCCTTCCTAATAGCCTATTAGAGAATGAGGCCTTTAAGAAAAAAAATTATATTTTTAGTGAATAAAGTAATGATCAGCTGTTGGCATTTATTAAGCAAATGTTATATTGTAAAACTGCTGGATGAACCACAGAATGTTTCGTGCATACTTTTTTTCTTTACCACAGCAGTATGTAGTATCCCTTTTGCACTTAATAAATACAAAACTCTTGAATGAAGAATGACTCAGAGGAAATACCATGCTCCTATGCTTTATAAGAATTTTATTTTTTATATTTTTAATCATTTTGTAAACTTTGAACAAGTTAAATTTTCAATTACATTCGTGATAATACATTTAAGATATTTTTATTAAATTTCTTTCATATAAATCTACATTGAATTAAATGGTAAATTGTGATGAGTTTTCTACTTATTTTGTATTTGAACATTTTAGTTGTTTTTGATTTAGGAATCCGAAATCCTTTCCTTCAAGTTTTGCTTTCGACAGAAGATCTATAGGGAAAATTATAAGCAGCTTTAAAAGATTTAAAAAATTCACATTCCGTATTAAGTTGGCAAGACTAGAATACCTATGTTGTTTTGCATTTCAAAAACAAATATGCTTTATTCTGTCAGCATTGTTCCCAAATCACATTATGATCTTATGATCTAGGAAGTAAAGTTAACTGTTTTTGTTTTGTTTTCAACTTTCAAAGAAAATTTTAGCTAATATACTTTTAGTTAAACATTACCCTTTTAGTTCTTAAGAAATATGCTGTGCTCAACAATTTCCTCCTTACCCCTGCCTTTTTTTCACTTTTCAAATCACTCTATAATCTTCAGACTCCCTTTTTTGTCTTTTTAAAGGTCGATTGAGCTATCCACATCCAGGAACTGACAATCTGTTGATGTTAAACGGTAAGTTTTATAAAAACATTTTATGTTTCCAATTGATTTATATAAATAAAGATAATTAAATACATGTTTCTTTGAACCTCCACATATATGCAGTTTAATTATTTTGTTATATAAAAATAAAGCTACAACTATTTCTCTACAGAAAACAGAATTGGGAATCTAAGTGTGTTCTGGCTAGCAAAGCAGTCACTGAAGTGTATTTGTAATAGTATGATTTTAATGCAGTGATTACCGAATTTGGAGTTAGTACTGGTTTGAATATGGCCTTTCCAGTTTAAGATATGACCTTGGGCAGGTAACTGTTACCTTCATTTCCCCATCTGTGAACTGGGAATGCAGTCTCAAGATTTATTATGAGACTTAAATGAGATAATGTATGCAAGTACATAGAACTTGCTACTTAGTATAGCACTTGTGTGTATATTTAACTAATATACTGGTGACTCTATAAATAGGATGGTCACACTAAATTTATTCAAACTACATAGTGAAACTCACCAGAATAAGGAAAAGAATAAATACATTTTCATTAAAGTTTGTTTTCTTTCTGTTAGACAGTCACATATTCAAAGAATCTCAGTACTTAGCACATCCATGGTTCTGGGAGTAAGGATATAGAGGATTAAAATCTCCTTCACAAAAGTATTTTTAAATCAAAAGGTGGGTAGAGAGAGGAGAATAGGAAGAGGAAAGAATAGAAATAGTATTTACTTTAAAAATAGTATCAGAATGACTTGGCTTTTCTATTTCAACTAAAGCTTTGATGAAATAAGGTATCAATGAAGTTGGGGAACAAAGGCTGGAAATAAAGTCAGTGTAAAAAGCTAGACCATGTGAACTAATATTAAGTAAAAACTAGTGACAGAAAAATGGAAATAAAGCCCTAGCCACCTGGGAGATTGTCAGGGTAAATAGGATTTTGAAATGAGATAAAAATTGAAGAAGCAGAGCATTAGATGGAGGTGATTGATTCAACATTTCACTGTTGAGTTGTCCACCACTCATAAGCCTAGTCTATAGCACTGGGTTATCTGATTTGTGAGGATCTTTAAGAATGGTTGGGAAGTGAATTGTCAAGAGTATTGCTGGGGACAGGTTGAGTACTGTAGGCAGAAGCTGTGTTCAGGCTGGACCTTACAATGGTCCAGTAGGCCACGTTTATGAAGTTAGTGAATTATATGATTTATGTAGATTTAATAAAAAGATACTAGAAATTGCATTTAAATGTCTATCCATTCAGCTTTTTTTCTAACATGCAAGAAGAAAGCTGTATTATTTTGATAGCTGGTCTCTGTTGCCAAATCAATGACCAAAACATGATCTTGTTGAAATTGAGTTTTACAAAACTGAAAATAGATTTTAATTTTTATTATTCCCTTAGCTTGATTTATAAAATAATGATAGATTTCGGTAAAAATGAATTATCTTTGTATTGGGTCCAACTTCCTTAAATACTTTTATTTTGTTACATGAAAAATAAAGATCACTTAAATTTCTATTTTAACTTTTGAAAAAGCAAAATGTTTCTGCTGAAAATTTTGAATTTGGATATTTTTCACTTATTAATGTCTACTTGACATAAAGTACTTTATGAGATACTTTGTTAAATCATTTACGGATGTTTTTAGATTGCTGAATGGATAGTAAGTGAAAAGGATCAGGAAGTATGTGTACTCACCATAAAATATTTCGGCCGGGTGCAGTGGCTCATGCCTATAATCCCAGCATTTTGGGAGGCCGAGATGAGCGGATGGCCTGAGCCCACAGATCTGAGACCAGCCTGGGCAACATGGTGAGACCTCATCTCTACAGTAAATCAAAAAATTAGCTGGGCATGGTAGCACATGCCTGTCATTCCAGCTACTTGGAAGGCTGAGGTGGAAGGATCACCTGAGCCCAGCAGTGACTGCGGTGGCTAGGAGCGGCCACTGCACTCCAGTCTGGGTGACAGAGTGAGACTCCAACTCAATAAATAAATAAGCAAACAAATAAGTAAAAGTAAAATATTTCGGTTATGTGGAAGCAAAGAGTTTAGTAGCCACACTATTTGTGCAACATACATTTTTCATTGCACGAAATAACATTATGCTAATTGATGATCTTGTCCAGCTGCCAAAAGCCCTTATAAGTAGTCTGTATGTTAGGTTGAAAAAAGTCACATTATGTGGTAGAAACATAAATATTTTATTTCAGGCAAGAGTTGCATCTTGTGGACTAATCTGTGTTTTGTGTGAGTATGCTTAGTCGTGTGCTGTTTGGGGCCACAGTGCATACATAGTACAGGAAGCCAACCTATAAATTCTGAACTTTTTCTGCCAAGGAACTAGGGGAGAAAAAAATAAAATAATGAAACCAGGACAGGAAAATTTGTTTAGGTCAGGAAAAGAGACAATTTGATCCAAAGATATATATCTGTATCTATATCTGTATATACATTTTTTAACTCATTTGGGATCATTGGTTAAGAGATGAAGCAGGAATCACATAATTGGTTGTATTTGTGGGATAAGGAAGTCTTGAGGATTTAAAATTTAGTAGACATCAAGTTTATTGAAGAGAGAACTAGGCAAAGAAGGATAGTAAAAGGTAAGGAGAAATTTTTCTTGAGCTATTTTTTAACTACATTTAATTTAACTATATCTTTAGCCTATCATCTCTCTGGGAAATGCAAGAATTAAGTGATGTTAGTACCTGGCTTTCCCTGTACTACTTATTAAATATTATTGCATGATTAAAGAAATTGTGGTATCTCCTTTCTGAATTATTAAAATTTTTCTTCAGTATATCAAAGATTTAACTCACTACTAGGCAGTTGGTTAAGTCAGTTGTATTACTAAACAACAAGCATAGCCATGTTAACTGTAAAAATCAATATTTAGTAATAAATTTTACATCAGTCTTTTTTGTAGTGATTAAGCAGCAGTTCATGATGGTTGGTACCACAGACTTTGGAGACAGATTATCTGGGTTAAAACCCAGGTTTGCTTTTCTGTCTGTAACCTTGGATGGCTTACCTAACTGCTCTTTGACTCAGTTTTCTCACATCTAAAACAGAGATTGCACATTGCCCGACTCAGAGGGACTGTTGTGAGGAGTAAGTGAATTCATTCATGTAGAGTATTTCAAACAGTTTCTGAAAATAAATGTTAGTTGTGATAGTGGCTAATGGTGAGCAGTGACAAAAATAACTTTGAAAGAGTAAAAACTTACATCCTGTGAATAGTTGAAGGAGTTGGATATATTTACTTTGGAGAATATAAAATAAAGAGAAGACGTAATTGATGCTTTCAACCATTTGAGGTATATTGTATGCAGTTAACCAAGAAGGCTTGGTCTTATGTTATTGCTGTAGAACTATAGAACCATTTGATAGAAGTTATATCAGGACAACATGTAGGCCAAAAAAGGCAAAATAACTCTCTGTGTTACCTAAAATGTGGTACCTTTGCTCTCTGGGGTACTCAAGATGACTTTTGATGTACAGAGATACACATTAAAATATGTGCATGACTATTACAATTAGAGAGCATTTCTTAGAAAATAAACAACTGACAGTGAAGCTAGGTTTGAGTTTCTTTAATAAAAACGAATATATAAATACTAGTACAGTTGGTAGGCAGATACGGCAAGCACATCTGTAAAGGTTTTATGAATTTACCTTAATAGTTAGTTAGCAGTTATAGTTAAACTTTTTAACCGTGCTTTTAAGTAAATGATAAAGCATGGGATAAAAACCAGGAAGTTGGTCAAACTTGGCAAAAACTATGAAGTGCTTCTGGCAAATCCTTGACTCTGAACCTCTGTTAAGTCAGGTATATTAAAAAAAAGGTATACGACCATACCTGTGTATCTCACAAAGTTGTTGTATAGAAATTTTAAACAATAAAAAGCATAAATATAACTACAAGCAGTCTCTTTCTCAACAGACCATGCTGCTTGGATTAAATTGAATTGACAGTTGAAGATTGTCACTCTTGAATAATTCAAACATTGTAGAAAAGTCCATATTTAGTATCTGGAAGCACTTTCAGGGGGTCACATTATATAGAAATGTGCAGATTGTCTTAAAAAACGGCAATTAAGTATTGTCTGAAGTTAGAATGAAAGTTTGGATGTTTATCTTTCTAGGAGTGTAAATCTTACACTTTGTATTCAATCAATAGTAAAACAAGGTGAAACAAAAACCTCTTTTTCATACTAGTAAAGAACAATACAAAACAATGTGTCGTTCAAGTATTTGTGTTTGGATTGCCTTTGTACTCTTCTCACCCCTTTCTCAAGGAAAATAACGACTTTTTTTTTTATTAGTATATATGATTTTTCTTTTTTTTTCAGTATTTTTTATTTTGATATTGTGGGGTACAGTTAAGGGTTAGGTATACAAATATGCTTCGTTCAGGCACCCTTGTTCATAAGGGGTATCTCCCCATTCCCAGACAGATATTGACTACCATTAATCCCACCTCCCTTCCCCTCCCCTCCCCTCCATAGTTTCCCACCACTGTCAGTCTTTTTTTTTTTTTTATAGTATTGCGGTGGATGTTCAAGGTCCACTAAATGAGTGAGAACATGTGATACTCAGATCTTTGTTTCTGTGAGAGATCACTCAGTATTATTGACTCTAGTTCCATCCAGGTTGCTGCAAAATTGATGATTTTGTTCTTTTTTATGGCTACATAGTATTCCATCGTGTATATGTACCACATTTTTTTAATCCAGTCCTCTTTTGATGAACAGCATGGTTGGTTCCAGGTTCTTGCTATTGTGAACAATGCTGCAATAAACATACGTGTGCAGGTATCTTTTTGATAGAGTGATTTGAGTTCTTCAGGGTATATTCCCAGTAGAGGGATTGCGGGGTCATATGGAAGGAATTTAAGAGATTTTAAAAATCTCTTTTTAAAAAAAATTTAGAGATTTTAGGAATCGCCACACTGCTTTCCACAGAGGTTGCACTAGTTTACATTCCCACCAATAGTGTAGAAGTGTCCCCTTTTCCCCACACCCTCTCCAGCAACTGTTATTTTTTGAGTTATTGATAATTGCCATTCTGACTGGAGTTAGGTGGTATCTCAGTGTGGTTTTGATTTGCATCTCCCTGATGATTAGTGAGGTTGAACATTTCTTCGTGTGTCTGTTGGCTGCTCAGATGTCTTCCTTTGTGAAGTGTCTGTTCATATCTTTTG